ATATATATATATTTATCTTTTAGTTTTTGTGATATGCTTATATTTTTAAGGAAGAAAGTTATCGTACTTTTTTAAAAGTGGGAGCCACAGTCTTTATACAGAGCTGCTTATTATCATATCTGATTTCATTTAGCTCATTGAAAACTCTGCCATGAGTGTCAAAGTCGTCTGTTTTTTTAAAATGCTGATATTGAACTAAATGAATTCCTTTTTTCTAATGGCTGATTTCAGAGTGTCTCTAATTGTTAGCCAGATATTTGTATATTAGTAGTGCCTTTAGTATAGAGATAAATGGTCTGTATCTGTCATGTATTATGGTCATATGAGTTCTATCATTCTTCTCTGTCATTTTCCTAGGCTCCGATGTTTGTCCACAGTTCCCATCATTTCCTTGTCTCCATCTGTAATGGGTGTTAAGTGATGAGGCTCAAGTAGTTCTCAATGTTTATCTTTATGGCCTCAAAAATTCTCTCTTTGCTTTAAAATGAGACATTTATTATGGGGGTACAAGGGAAAAGTTATATTGTGACAATAATGTTAGGTTAACCTCTTTCTACTTTTAAGTGTAATATTTGTCACCTCACCAAACTGTACAAACTCCAGCATTCAGGAACTGCCTCACTCATCACTCCTGTGTAGCAGTTCTATCAACAGTACTCGGCCTACATCTGTATGAAACACAGAGGAGGGAGCACAGACCATCTGAAAACTCCCAAGAGAAATTTTAGTAAACATAGTGCCATTGAACCCCAGGGGGCATTATGCCATGTTTGAGTCCAGCAAGCTCATTATGAATAATCAGTAAAAGTACTTTTTTAAACATATTTTTCTAAAGGTCAAGACTGAAGAGAAATGGGAGAGAGCTCTATAATGGCTGGACAGTGGTCAGGCATTCTCTATCCTTTTTCCCTTGTACACCTATTCCAGTGAAAGATGTGGCAGAGTCCATCTTTATAGCATGATGGTCGTTAGACATCAGTGGACAGGATCCATTGATAGTCATGTCTGGTGGGGTCTAGTGCATCTGAAAAACGACTAGACTTTGAGAAACAAGATTTTTCTCTTTTGGAGGGATGGACCAAAATCACTCCCAAATTAAATGCTCATTAAACTATTGGACTTTTTGTGGAAATGGTGGACTATGTAGGGCACAGAAGGGACAGACTCCTCAGATTACTTCATGTTTCCACATAACTAGAGGATTTTAATCTGTTTAAATCTTTTCTCTCTTCACTGAAATATTATTTCTAAATGTCCTTGTTTAACAATTCTTTTTTTAGCAAGTTAAGTGAATACTGAAGGTTGATTCTTCAGTCTCACTCCTCCTGTAAACAATTTCTTGCATCACCTAGTCATTACCTTGTTTTCATACTTTGACAGATAAAGTGTATTAATTGATTTAATATCATGTATACTTAAGTCTTTAATGTCCAAGATTCAGTTGCATGAAAAATTATATTTACCTGTATTAAATCTTAGTTTCTAATTGAGATTTTGCTTGCTTTTTAAACAGGTAAGTAGGGAAGATTAAGAGATTTTTTTTCCCCTATTGATGGAAGGGATAAAGAACCATCGATGCAAGTTTTTTTTATTTTATTTGCTGTGATCAGGTGTTCACTCTGGTTTTAGACCAATCTGCATTCTTAGTTTTAAGGGGAGGAGGCAGTCAGAGGGAAACTGTAGATAGACATCCATCAGTGTGTTTTCTAGCTCAAGGAATTGGGGTCAAGTTATGGGGTATTTTTATGCATTCCTTTTTTAATCATCTATTTATATTAACAAACCATTAATTTTTTATACTGGTCATCTGATTTTTACCTTCCATGAGATGGATAGAGGTGTGCACATCTCCACTGAAGTTAGTTCTTTCATGCTTCTTCCCACTATTCAAACCATCTTTTTAAAAGTAACCAGGCTTCTTAGATTTCAAGGGGGGCTCTGTTTCTTTGTACTATCTTGGTTCCAAGTTGTATTTTTACTGTAGGAGATTATTAATTAATTAGAGAGAATAATTACTGTGAAAGACATTCTCTGTCTTTAAAAAGAAATCAACCACAGAAGTTCATTGTTCTTTTTGWACAGATAGCAAATAATACCTTGTATACATACATTCTCTAAGCTTTGTCAGTGAAGCAGTCATTTCTGCAGGCACTCCCTTTGATCGTCAGAATAAAGCTTAAAATTCTAAAAGTGCATATTTTTCACACTGACTTAATTCATAATTTCATCACTGTCCTCCTCCTGCCAGGAAGCAGTAGGAAATGGTTGGAACAGACCAGGTTTCCAGCAACAGGACAGATCACACAGACAGGCCCCAAGTTTCACTGCTAGCTCACTGAGTTAACAGACATCAGATCCTTCTTTTAAAAAGAGGGGGATAAAATGTAGAAAATAGTTCTGGTAGTCAAGAATGTCAGCAATCCACAGCTGCTTTTGTATTTGTGTGTTTCTGTGTGTGAGTGTGTGTGTCCATGTCCGTGTCCCTGTGAACCAATAATAATGCCTTGCTCAATCAATGCATTCAGCCATCTCAAGTGCAATTTGTCAGGGAGACTGTGGTTTCCAATAGATATGTTTTTTTATGTAGTTCAACTTGTAAAAATTATTCTTTCCCACAGTACACCATGACTATTGATTATTTCAGCAGCTAATATACTGTTAAGTTTTCCAGGCCAAGTAAGTTTCTGTAGCTATTTTAGTAATTTGAAACCAAATTCTCACACTGTTTCTCATGAAATGATAGAAGTGAGAATTTGGTCCACAGTTTGATTTAAGTTCTTTCATTTCTTTCTTTCCCTTACAGTTAAGGGGTGTTTAATGTTTGTATTTTTTGGATTTTATTTATTTTATTTTTTATTTCCTTTTGCCTGCATCAAATTGCTTGAGTATTTTCAACTATTTTGATGTATGAATAATATGTGGTGTGCTGTGTCATTAATGTATTCAACATTTTGTTCATTTAAACAACATAATTAAGTATGATTCATACACATATACATAAAATCTTAATTCATTTCTTTTCTCATATAACTATTTTATAAGTAACTGGAATTTTTCATTAGATCTTATACAGAGCAGTATTTTATTAAAAATTCAAAAGGGAAGACTTTTATGTGCTCATTTTGTAGTTTTTGTTTTTTAAATATCTTTACATTGTCTGCCAATTAAAGTGTTTTTAACTTGCATTGGAATGGACTCCGAATGTATTTTTGTGTTGTGAAGTTGTACATTTGTAAATTTCTAGCATGAAGTTAGCCTCAAAATTCTGTGCAAAGGGATTTTAAAATATAAGATTCACTGAAAGAGTTGCTATACATGTTAAATGCTGTATGGATTTTAATTAAAAATTTAAGAATGATTTCATAAGTTGTTTGTTCTATGATTGCTTTAATATAAAAAATAGAAACATACTTTTCACTTAAACCCCTTTTTTTTGGTACCAGGGATTGAACTCGGGGGCACTTGACCACTGAGCCATATCCCCAGCCCTATTTTGATTTTATTTAGAGACAGGGTCTCTCTAAGTTGCTTAGTGCCTCACTTTTGCAGAGACTGGCTTTGAATTCCTCCTGCCTCAGCCTCCTGAGCCACTGGGATTATAAGCGTGCACCACCACACTGGCCCCATCTCCTTTCATATCTAATCTCCATGCTGTGTCATATCATATAGTAAACCAAGATAGTGTGGCTGGTGAGGAAAACTGGAATGGCAGATTCCATGGCTGTGGTTCAGACCCAGCTCTACCTCTTGCTAGGTAAATTATGTTATCATCGGTAAATTATGTAAGGTATAAGCCTCAGATTCCTCATCTCCTAAAAGAAGCAAACGGCACCCTTGTCTTCACATGTCGTGGTACCCTTACCAGGCAAGGGCAGCTTCTTTACAAGTATTAGTAGTAACAGGGTCATCGTCTGTATACAATATTAAGTACACACGGTCCTCTGGGTGGTGTCATACCACGCTGTTCTGAGTCACCTTTTGGCACCCAATTTGGACAAAGTCCATACCTCACTCAGGTACCTGCGAGATTCCTTTTCTGTTTTCCCTCTCATGAGTCCCTCTACATTTCTTCTCATTGCAGAGGAAGATCC